CATTATCTGTAAAGTACAGGAAAATGGGCAAAACTGACACAATTTTTATTTCTTCTGAAAAACAAAATGAAAAATACTTATGTCCACCCTAGTTACAAATGAAAGACATTGTTAAATGAAAAATCAGTCCTGAAAGTTACAAAATGAACATAATTTTGATACAAATTAGAGATCATAGATGTATCTCAGAGTCATTCTAAGACCAGAAATTACCTGGAAAATACAAACTTCAACAACTGTAGCAATATCAATTAACAGAGCTAATACACAACAGTAACCACACATCTCTGCTAAATGGCAGATAAAAAAACTCAGGAAATCTATATGTTTTTAGAAAGAAATGACCACAACCACATGGGATACAGTAGACTAAACAACACCTGGGAATGTTTCTGGTAGATCTCTGATCAAAAAGAGGACTCACATGTCCACCACAGTTCCTTATGGTAGACCAAGCGTCACCTGCAGAATTCCAAAGACACCTGAAATTTATAATGATTTTTGCTCATCAAATGTCTACACCATCCCACTGACTTCAAATGTTCAAATGTATCATTTAGAAAATTTACTGAAATGTGTCTGATAATTCTAAAGAAATTTTCACATGGTCCAAAACTCAAGGATTTTTACATTAAATTTATCAATTTGTAATGTATGTTCAAATTATATATATTTTAAAATGTCAATAAATCATATGTCACTTTATTTAATGTCAAAACATTTACACAGATTCTGCTTTTTTAAAGATTATTCCCCAATAACCACAAAGAGAACATATTTTAGATGAAATAATACATCAATTTGGCATCAATCCATTCATTCAGTTTTGTTTTGTTTGTATCTGAGGCCTTCTCTTATCCTTCACTTCCTCCTGATATCTTTGGGGTCTAACTCCAAAGATTTCCTGTCAAAAAATTCACCACAGGAACTCACCACAGGAACTTATTATAAGTCATTCTGTATCTTGTATGTGTAAGATTGTTAAAGGGTGTTACAGGATCTGGCACAACTTGGACAAAATGCACAAACTAACATCTTTTATTTTCCAATAAACTTTGTTTTGACACACCTAGATATGATAACATATGGCTGTGTAAATTTCAATCAACATTGGACATGGCATAAACATTTCTATCCCTGGCTGTGTAAAACATCGCCCGCCTCTTCCTATTTTGCTGAGTCATCTTCATTAGTTTACGTTACCAAAAAGCAAAAAGGTCTTTGACAGGGCTACAGATCCACTGGTTTGAATGAAACACCAGGTGAAGATATGATCAAAGGCTACAGTAACTGTCAATACTAATGGCAGCTAATAACTTCTGTGGGTTGGATAACATCACCCCTGCCCCTGCTAGCTACTGTATACAATCTATATTTCATCAATTTGATGGGGAAAGATGGGTTGAACTTTACATGGAGGTGATGAGCAACAGGGCTGGAATTGTGTGTACAGGCGGTTCACATCTGGTATTAAACAAGAAATTATTTAGGTGAATATCCGGCCTTCATCCTCCTTAACTAGCTATAACATACCTGCCACTTTAACCTGACACATTTGAAATTCTTATTTTTGGCCCCTCTATTTAAACCATGGGCACTGACCGTGTGTGCAGCATAGAGAGGTTTGTCAAGCTCAACAATCACATTTCACAATGCATTTCACAGCCTCTTTTCAACACTTAATGCCAGGGAACATGAATGAATAGTATGCGCGTGGTCTGTCAAGCTTCTCTGACACATTCACAATCCAGATGACCACCTCCCTTCGTGGGTCAGTAGGATGGTTATGTATATTTGGATCATAATACACAGCAGTGGCCCTATAACTGTACTTTATGTCTTCAAGCCATGGATATTCTATGGTGTACAGAAAGGACAGAGGGAGCAGACAGGAATAGGGGTCTATCAATCCGATGTCATTTATGTTAAAAATACACCACAAAGGCCCCAGCAACATATACACTGACCACAAACCATGTATACTAAAAAGATTTTTTGTATATATGTATATTCTTTACCTTAAGCAGTTATTTCTTCATAATGCTATATAACATATACCCACCTGGGACTGCCCATCAGTCTCATCTAACACATTCACAATACACACACAGGGCACCATTATCTTGTATCAGACCAATAGAGATGTATGCGTGACAATAATTCATAGGCTAGGGCCCCTTACTTACAATGAATATGGCATAACTTGTAGAATAAAAGTTGTGCTAGTCTGGCTGCCAAGAATCATTCATTATTACAAGTGAAGTCTTGTGGTTTTGTCAACCTTTACAGAAGAGGGGCTGCAGTTTTTACTTACAAAAAGGTCTATATTCACACACTGTACAGAATCATCAGACACAAATGTTGTTAATATTTCATTTCCTGAACTGACTCCAGTATTACTTTCATACAACCTTACCCAATAAAAAGAGTCAAAACTCTTTCTTAAATTGATCAAACTATTTCTATTTTCCTTATCATTTTTTACAAAAAAAGTTAAGCCCATGCTGTAAAATAATGAGGTACAGGTACAATGCTTTCCCCCTCTCAAAAACCTCTTATCTTACATCTAAAGGTGACAAAGGTTTTCCTATTCATTTCAAGAATTTTAAGATGAGAGGCATATCTATATTCTTTTTTCTTGGAATGTTGCTCAGAAAGAAAATATGTGGACAGGCCCTTAGAAAGCTCATGGTACATGTACTCAGTGCCTTCATTTTATCCTAAACTAACACTACACATCTTGGAAACAGATACCTATACTTAAAAACTCTCAACTGGTTGAAAGATCTTTGTTCCATTTAATCCCAACTCTAAAAAATTAAACCCATTCCAATGTTCTATTTATATTCATGAAATCTAAGTAATAAGACGTTTACTTTACTGACATTTACTAGAAACATTGCCTCCAGGTTTATGTTTTCCAAGATGCACACACAAACAAACACTAACAATTACAAAATCTAGGAAATGAAGTGTCTGCGCTGACATTTCATAAAACCTTAGCCTCAGGTTTATATATTCTCAAATATCTGTGTATATTTACTTTCAGGCGATAGTAAACCTCTGTGTCCTTAAACAATCAATTATCTCTTGACTTCACACCAATACAGAGTTTATTATTCATTAGGTTTGGTTGAGTGTACCTTTCTCTCACATGTTTTCAAAAGGCTGCATCAAACACATCAAACACCAGAAAAATCAAATTAGAAACAACTCCCCTGTATTGACTGGTGACTTCTGTAAATATTTAGGAGAAATTCACCACATCTAATGTATAAGTACATCTATGCAGTTAGTTTTCCTATCATCTTAAAAGGGTTGCCTATCAATAAAATATGATTTCAGTTGTCCTAACTCTGAAGAATGTGTACTTAAAAGATGAAACAAAAACATACCAAAGAGTATCACTGATAACAGAAAATTTTATATTTAATATAAAAAAAGTATGACAATCAAACAGTAAATTTATATTTAAAAAACACATTTAATTCAATTTCTAATATAAAATAAAGTTTTAAAAATGTTCATGATTTTGCAGTTTTTCTAAAACCTTAGAAATGCCTTTAGGTATAAACAAATGATCACTTGTAATACATTACCCCTTTAGCAAGTAACCAGAGTATTTAGGAGCCCTGGTCCCCTGGGATGGAAAACATGCAACAAGCTGAAGATGTACACACTAACACAAGGATACTTCCTTAAAGTATTGAAGATAAATACAGTGCCAAGTTCAGCAACAGAAACACTGAGTAATTACATGTACTATATATTGTGTGGTAACTGTGTAGTGCCAAATAAAAATGTCACCTCACCTGTTACTGAACTTTGTAGTAGTGCACATATAGAAACTGTAAGTGTGTAAACAAAACAATTTAGTACTCAATAAGTAGACAAAAATTCTCCCAATGTGCAGTTTTCCATTTCTTCAAATCCTACAATAACTAAATATACATACAGTACGGTAGGGGCCAATTTTTCATGGAAAACAAAATGATCACCCTAATTGTCTTATACTCACCTTTTGATAGAGTAAAGAAAATGAACAACCTTTGGCATAAATTAACACTTGTGTAATAGCAGATATTAAGATAGAGATTTCCATTTCAAATAATCTTAAAGCCTTCTCAAAAAATGAATAGAGCAAAACAAACAATTATACATAAGTACAATTATATAATTCACAAACTTTAAACGTGTTTGATGTATATAATTGTAAAAACAAAAAATTATTTATTCTGAGGATAAAACAATGATGGACAAAAAGTCTGATTTCCAGAGTGAAAATCAAATACAATTAGTGCATGAAGACCAACTTGTTGCAACACCTCAACAAACTCCAACATTACTGAAACATGGAAGGGCAGAATCCAATAAATTAGCCAGAATATCTAAGAGCTTATCGATTTAGGAAATAAGGCAAAATACTGTTATTGACACTAAGATGTGACCTTGAGGGCAAAGACTGATTCATCTGTGCAATCTAGACTGGATCCTTTCCTCTACATCAAAACCAATCAAAACTACATTATGATGTCGTTCTATTGCCCAATTATTTACCAACACATATTTTCAAAGACCCATATTTCAGTTCATTATCTTGATCCAGATTTCTTTTTTCATTTAAATGGATTATTCATTAGACAACAGGAACATTACTAGACGACATGTGCCTCGACTAATGGAGAAATTCATCCAATAAAAAACCACTAAAATTTGAAAGCAGAGCTAAAGGCAAAATGCATGAATGGTTTATCTGCAAAATAAGATCATGTATTCCCTCCAGGTGGAAGAATCGATAATACAATGTCTATCTTGTGTACAAGATTCAGCTTGTTAATTGATCTTGTCCCTGGATTGCAATTAGGTCAATTTACACAAATGCTTTCTTTTCTTTTCTACTCTCTTCACTTTTTTTAAAAACATATCTACTGCAGACCTTGTCTGCTATCAACCAGACCTTTATCGATATCATAAAACAGGTTCTATCTCAAAGCAGAAGTTTCAATCTACCAAATAAACGGACACTACTTCTTAACTTACTGCAACTGTTGCATTCGATGCATTTTTACTGCAAAGAGAAACAATTTTGAATAGAGCTCAGTATTTACAGCATTTCATTGGGATTCCAATGCATCACATTCTATTAATTAAAATAAGATGTTCTTTACCACATCTGCAATGTCAACTGTTCTAAACATCTGTTGGCTGTCATTTCTCTCTCCAGGAAATAAGGATAGCCAATGGAGGAAACAATAACAATCTTATTTTTCCCTTTTTTTATACAAAATGAATCAACGCAATGTGAACAATCTGTTATAAAGATTTCCTTGTTTCATTATTAAACATTTAAATTAGATGACAATTTTTTCCCAGGGTAACATGACCTCGAGGTTTTTACAAGGAAGATCCCTTCACCCAGAATATTCTACTCCCTTGCACAGATGGCTTTTTCCAGATCCAGCATGCACCATAATCCCATGTCTGAAATCACTTGCATAACAATGTCTATGCCAGGCTGCAATTTGCATAAGCACAAATACTCTTAAATGCATGACAAGTACTATTATATCATAATTTCCTATACTTAGGATTATCTCATAAAAAGCCAACTAAGCCGAGCTTAAGACCAACTCAGCAAGGTCATTGTAGGCAATCAAAAATGACTCTATCAGCATGCAAGTTCCTCATTCCTTTGGAATTTAGTAATGGAAAAAAAGGCTGCAAAAGAGAGTGGAATGGTGAAAAAATTAATTACCAAGATGAAAATAAGGAAAAAAGACAGCATGCAATTGATCCATCATTTTGGGGTGGTATTCCTATTGCTCAATTGTTATTGGTTGACTGGGAAATATGTTACTTTGTCGTTAACTTGACCAAGCTATTCAAAAAATGATTACTATGTTGTGCAATGCAGCTATGCAACAAAAAATCAATATGCAAAAAGAACATGTTGCACTTCATTTTCAGGATTTTAGAATTACCTAATGAAAGGTTTCAGATATACTCTCAATTTATTCTCCTACTTATCCACAAGACGCAATTGTCTCGTGCGATTAATTTTGTAACCTTTTCGATCAATACCTTCATTTCAAACACATCTGCTTGTTTGTTTACAAGTTTCCTTGGCTTCTTTAAGGTGCCTCTTGTTTGTATATTGATTGAAATTGTTACCAATCAATTTAAACATTTAACCTGAGGCAACCGCTCTTATTGTGAAAATATCAAATTCATATCCTGTAAAACAAAATATCACCAAAGACCAGCTAATGAAGAAATGAAAGAAAGGTAGAAAAAAATAATCAGAGGTGGAACAGACAAAACTCGGGTCACAATAACAGCTTAAAAATGAATACATCTGGCTCCCTGGCAAAACCTTTGTGACAAAAAAATTGCTTAAGTTTTGTTTAGAATCAGACTGTTATAGAGATTAATAATGTTTCTAAAAAAAATGGAGAAGGAAATATCTTCACCTAATTACAAAAATAAAACAAACAGACCAGTTACTTTAATTTACATAGACAATACAAAAACAAAACTTGGAGATCGTGATTAATCATTTTCCTCTCCACAGAAAGCAGATTCCCTCCAGCAAGCAATTATCAGCCCAAGTGTCAGCTTCCTAGTTAAACAATACTGCAATCTCATAATTATTTTCTCGCATTTCACAGGACACCTGTGCACAGACCCCCTGCCCTAGATAGTATGTGAGACAGAGATTCAGGTGAGAGGCCTGCCAGGTAGGAATACAAGTGTCACTCATTTCTAAAAGTAAATACATCTCAATATTCCAGATTGTTTAAATTAACGGAATATCAGCATAGCACTCAAATATTTTGCCAGCAATTTCGCAGGTTATTTAACCTAGCCAAGCACAATCAATACTAGGACAAAAAGTTGACGAGCAGCCAAAAAAATATAGCGGACTGAACTTCTTGACCCTGTTAACCCTCAATGATGTCAAAGTAAGATTCATCAATGCTTCCACACGAACAATTAGAATTAATCATTGGGGAAAAACCCCTGGTTTGATTCCGGTGGATCCTCAGAGACCGCTTGGCCACTTCCTTATAAATATCTCATCAACATATACAGCATTTAAAAGACCCAAGACAGCTCTCTGCAAACCAACAGTGAATTGAAAGAAGACCCATTGATACAGATCTACAGGTAAACAGTTCTACTATACTTGTGTGACTGTTTTAACTGTGTTTGTTTTGATGTGATTGTGCAGGTTTATTTACAGGACAGACGAAGGATTGTTTGCATATTATTATTATTATTATTTATTTGTTATTTTGTTACAATGATTAGTTCTGCGATATCCCAAGGAATATTTTCATAAAGGTTGGTATTTATTGATAAGCAGGTGCTGTGATATCTGCAGGGTTTTCAGATAAATATAACAATTATTTAGTCTTAAGAGGAGGAATACATACAGACTGAAAAAATAAAAAAGACTGGTGACAGTTTTCATCACTGAAATAAACAAACAACCTGTTATCACAAAATCTATATCACTCAAAATTATTTGTTATAGTATCAAAAATATCCTCTTTTGTATGAGATATTCTATTTTCTGAACAAATGCATCACTTAATGACTTATCATTTTAGCAGTATCAAACAGGTGTCTCTTAAATAAAAAAAAATTCCACAAGAATAAATGCAGTTAACAGCCACAACAAAATAAAGTATGCAATGGTCACATTCTTTTTTTATTTTTTTGTCCAACCCTTACCTCAGGAGCTCTATACAGTAAAGTCTGTAGTTCAAAGTCATCATAGTACAAAGAGACTTCATCATGGACACAGTGGAAGGCATTCCCAAAATCAGCTATCTTCAGACTAGAGAAATTGTGCTCTGAAATCAAAACATACTGGCTCAAAAAAACTCAATAAAAAATATACTTGCTAAAAAAAATAACAATTAAAGCAATATCTTATTTTGGTTTTAAACCTTAACTTTTCAAAAGTAATATCAATTTCAATTTTATTAACAATAAACATTTTTCAGGCTCTTTCGTAAGGTCAAAAATAGATGGATGACAACATTTTTGTTTTATTTTTCAATTTGCGCTTTTCAAAAGTAAAATAGATTTCAATCTTACTCAAGATATATGATTCCTTTCACTAAATAAAAAAGACTAAATAACAATTCCTGCTCATCTTCACTTCTGTTACACGTATGGCAGAGGTGGTTCAAGATGTGGATGCAACAAGTGTTTTTCATTTATCAGAGAAAATGAACTGATTTCCTCTGCTGTGATAACACTTACTGTCCACAGCATGTACCTATCTAACCTGGCAGCCAGGTGATCTCAAGTGGCCTCCTCCATTATTTATTATTACAGGTAACACACAGTAAGAGACACTTCATGTAGCTAGTGAGGTATTCTAATGTGTTCATATTGGAAAAAAATTCTTCTTTTTCTTTCATTCTTTCTTCCTTTCTTTTTTTATTTATTTATTATTATTATTTTTTTTTTTGGAGGGGGGGTGAAAAGCAAGCTTAAAATTCCCCAAATTGTTCAGACAACAAGACTAATGTTGAGAAAAACTATAATAAAAGAAAAAAAAAACTAAAATAAAAAGCACTGTTGCCTGATTGTCATGTTTGTTGGCATTTCTTCACACGAGTGTAACTATTGTTTTAGTCAAAGTTTCTACATACTATGATACATATTTTGGCAATATCAAAATTTAAAGGTCTACCTTCCACCTATACGTGTTGCCTATAATGGTGCATTTAACTACTGATGCAGTATTGCCAATTTTACCTGAAGCTGACATTGTCAAACTAATGTGCACCAAAACAGGATCAAAGCAGAATGGACATATATATATATTAAGACAACAAAAATCCTTACTGAGCATAGTTACAGCAGCAGCAACTGATTAGCACTCCATCTTAATCAATACAGATGACTTAAGTTAAGTCCAGCCATTCCAGGAGATTCCAAGACTTCACTTAGAGTAGTTAGATGTTTATTTTCACAGTGGAGCAAGGTTGGGTGAGATGGTCAGATCAATCAGATAGTACCAATCTCCAGATGATCAAAGTAGATCAAAGGATCAGACTCCAGAGGGGCAAAGGTGGAGCCCTCTCCTGCACCCCATGTTGTTCTTAGAGCAATTACTCATCTGGCTATTTCTGAGAGACCTCAAGGTAATGATCAAACTATACATGCTAAGTAAAGTTAATAGAGCAATTTGGTACTTGAAACCACAATGGTAGTACTGTGGTGTCATTGGGGCACTTTGGATATTTTTATTTCTTTTATTCTAAATCAAAACATTATTAGTAGTCATCAGATGAGGTGTGTAAGAAGGATAAGTTGGACCAGTTTTGAAATAAATATCACAGGGCTTTTTAAATTTGTACTGGAAAAACAAAGCATTTACACCATTATATTTTTAATATCATTTTAAATCATTATTTAAATTATAATCACTATTGTATAAAAAATATTATATCAAACAATACAACCAAAATTATTTCTTTCAACACAAATCCAGACAAGATGATGATAGTCTTAATATAAAAAAGGATTGCTTTAGTTTCCATGACACAAGGTTATAACAGATGCACCAATTTTCTACCCCAGGGGATCAGACAATATTTTTCTGTGCTGGAGTTGGCCGGGAGCCCATGAATACAAACCCTGCTAATCCCTTCATCAATACTTCTCCCTAAAACCATCACCTGGCTGGGGCACAGAAAGGACATGGATCGATTTAGACTACCGTAATTACACATAAATTTTGAAATAGGGGATTTATTCTGAACATATTTACTGTTGAAAGATATATAATTTAGTGTTATTGATTGAAAAATAAGTTTTCTGAGAGGCCCAACTTGATATGCAACAGAGAATTTCAGAAAAAATCTTTCAGCAATTCTGCACATACATTTTATTTTAATCTTGAAAAATAAGTTCATAAAGTTCTGTTCGAATTAAAGAAATAGGTGCCGTACATTCTGTCCAGACACAGTTCCTCGTCATTTTTCTATTTACTAATGACATTTACCAGTCTCCCCTAAGTACCATTTTAATACAATCTACCGACTAATCCCTCATGATCCAATTGATACTGTCAATAGCGCTTTAAGGCCATGGATTGCAATGGAAAAGGTTAACAAGCAAACTACTTGTGTTAAGTGAATCAGGGTTTATGAGTTTATGAAAGTGTCCTTAGGTTAGCGTTACAGGCTCAATTTGATTATTCATCCAAAGAGATTGATATGCTGTCAGAGAAATGGAAACATTTGTCATTGAATTATGGATGTTAATCAGTGCGTAATGGGCATCAGAAATGGCTCAAGAAAGTTTTTTTTTTTTTTAATTTATCTTTAAAGTTGACACGCTAAATATAAAGATCTTAAAAAACCTATGAAGTAAAAAAAAAAAAAGAAGTCCAACACAACCTGTAAAATTATAGCTATTTATCAGTGTTATCTGATTAATGGCCAATAAAATAATCAATTTTTTTTATTTTAGCAAAAATCAGTCTATCTTTGTACCCTTTTTAAACCGTTGTTCTTTAAAGCTAACATACTTATTGAATCAACTCTCAATATTTTTTCAATAAAACATTCTTTTCATCCATCCTTAATAATCAATTATGTATTCATACCTGACTCTAAGAGTATGTTTTCTGGCTTAAGATCCGCATGGATTACATTCTGCTGTTTCAAAAACCCCAAAGCCTGAAGCAGTTTCACTGTAACTTTCTTCAGCAGTGGAATCATCTGTAATAAAAAAATACAAAAAAAACACATAAAAGTTAATTATCTTATAAAAGATTGTGGTCATGATAAAAAGTACTCTTTCATGTGGAATAAAAAGAAAAATGGCAATAAATTGTGGCTTGTTCTTATCACTTTTTGTATAAAGAGAAAAAAATAAAGATGTCTGCTGTAATTCCTCACACCTGAATGGTACCTATTATTAAGGCGGACTGGACAGGCTTATTGTAAACACAACCTCAATAAAATCTAAGCCAAGGAGGAGATAGAGACTATGGGTAAAAATGGTGGGCATTTCCCCTCTAAGGTTATCAGGAAATTCAAATAATTCTACAGCATCAAGGAATACATTTTCATGGTTACTCTTCAATATGACAATAAAATAATCTTTTTTGAGAAAACATTTAGAAATACATAGCATCCTTTTTAAAATATTTATTTCATTTAGAAAAAAACAAGATGTCTTGATGTGGAGAAAAGACAGCATTTAACTAAGTTAAAGAATGTTTTCTGTTAAATTTATAAACCAATATGTGATTTGCTGTGAAGTATTAAGTGTGTCAAAAATAGAACAGTTATCATTAAAACATATATCAACCTTTAATTATATCACTCAATTAGATTGTTTCCACCTTTAAGTCATTACTAGCTCACCATTTAGATTAAAGGCACACTTTTAGGTACAGGTCTAGTAAGTCTCACCTGAGGTCATTCACCTTAACTTTTTTAATCTATTAAACCCTCTCCCTAATTAAGCAGAGATTACACTGGGTTTCAACAGAATCATTTAATTAATTTTCTTCCTTTATCCAGTTACACCAAACCATATGGTTGTCTCCCTTTCAAAATGCGCGTATGTAAAAAAAAAACAACACAGTCAGGCATTTCCTATTTCCTTCCACTCTCCACTAAGGCTTCATAGCGAAACATGTGCCACATCAGATGAATAAACAAACCTCAAATCAAACACTGATAGTTTGCAACAATTTCACAATCTCCTCCCCACACCTGTGGAAATGTATAGTGCACAATTTGATGTCCAGAAGGATTAAATTTTCAAAGAGGGGCTCCGACTTTCATCTCAAAGCCAATCATTTTTATGGCACATTAACTGCGTCTCTCACAATCTTTGGTGTGGTTTTCATTTTTTCTTACAGACTAGATCCAAAAAGTCTAATCGCTGTCCTAACTCAAGTCTACAGTTTGAAGATCAAAACAAACTTTACTTTTGTACCCAGCCTTAATTCTGGTTCCCTAGAAAGCAAGAGTCGCCAGTTTTTCTACCACCGCTGAGTGAATAAAGTGGCAGCAACAGGTAGACTGCTAGTTTCCTATTACAATGCGACTTGGTGTCTGCCATCCTCTCAGAGAGAAAAAATAACACACAAGCCCATTAATTCTTTCACCATTAAGGAGAAAACCTGGTCAAAACTCTCTTGGAACTATCAATGACTCCTCTGGGTTTTTTTTTTTTTTATTCCCACAGAATCTGTGAAACATTTCTATTACAACAATCACAAAGTGTACAGTACGGCAACATGGAGCATATTGAGGAATAAGAAAAAATTTCAAAAAATTAAAACATCATTTTCCAATATCATTATATACATCATGATATTTTTCTAAGTCATCCACAATGCATGCTACTTTATAATTAAGGTGAATTCAACATATAAAGCAAATACAAAGAAACAGTGTTTCATTATGCAATGATTTATTAAGACTTCAATTATATTTAATGTCCTTTCTGCTCTAATATTTCCCAGTTATTAAAAGCTTCAAAAGCATTAGGCAGCATCATGCAAGTCACAATGACACTTATTAGCATTGTGAGGAGTGTGAGTTAACAAAAGGATCAAAAGAAGACGCAAGTGTCAACACGGAATTATGACGGATGAAAGTATTATGTCAGTTCTTTATCCCTGGAACAATGTGCGGCAATTTAAACGGCAGCATTACCCTAGTGACACTATCCCATGTGCTGCCCCTTAAAAGCTTATCAAACAATTATATACACACTGCTCAATTTATCTTTCATCTCTTAGCTAACAAGGGATCAATTTTCCAGGTTGCCTCACACTAATGTCTTCTCCCAGGAGATCCCACCTTATCCTTACAGGAATCATTCAGACAGAATAGGAAAGTTGCAAAAAGCTTTAAGGTGTACAATAGACCACCTGGACAGCCAACATCTCTCTCAACAGGTAGAATACAAAGAATTCAGGCCGAGTCATGGAAATGGTGGAGAAAATTAAAGGAAGCCCGGCGGAAACCTGGGTTGGACTTGTGCACAATTGCTGCTTCCTGTCTGTCTGTGATATAGGCAGCAAATAAAAACAAACAAAGGGAAGCAGAGCCCAGGTTACCTGAAATGCCTGTACATTACTGCAGCAGGGTCATTAGGAATTGTGCATGGCGATCAATAATAAGAGTATTATACCATGTCATGTAACCAGCCAACATCAAAACAGAGACATGATGAAGTATAATGCACAATAAAACACCAGGAAATTTCTGACAAAAAAACTAAATACATTTCAGAAACCATTTTTGAGCTGTCAATTCTGAGCATTTTTTTTTCTCTCCGTGTGTAACATAACTCAGCCATGTCAAAATGCAGTCACAATGAACAGTAAAGCACAATAAATCAGATGGATAGAGATGAAAGTGTACCAAAAGAAAAATAGCTTAACTGTGAAATTTGAGCCAAACCTAGGTAGCTAAACAATATCTACATCAAAATACACATGACATAAGCAGTTAGACACAATAGATCAAAAAGGTAATGGGTGCCCATGGATAAAATGACAATACAGGGAAATTTCACACCATTTAAAATAAAAGTGATGTTAGATGCACAGAAAAAAAAGTGAATTTGAACATCATATCAATACAGCAAATTAGGAATAGTAATATCCTGAGCATTCTATGCTGTACCAAAAGAATTACATATGAAGACTTCACTCAGAGCACATTTCTGTTTTTTAATCACCACATTCGAATACCCAAACATATTTACCTGATTTTTATCTATTTTTTTGAAGTGCAGTGACAGAGGGGACGGGTCCAGGAGATCAAACACCATACAGTAGTGATTGTCCAGCATGAATGTATTCTGAAATATAAAGAAAAAATTACGACAAAAAAAAGGGAATTTTTTCCTCAATTTATTTTTATAATAATATAATTTTTTTTAGATATAACAAGCACATCTGCAGCTTACCTGTTATCCAAGGCAAAACTTAATCATAATTTTCTTCTTTCTAATAACAAATGACACTGACCAAATACAATCAAAAATAATAAATCAGAAAAAAAAAATTTACTTTTACATCTTTTAAACTGACAAATTTTCATCAATTGGATGCCTTTTTTCATGGGTCTAGGATGGATAGAGAGTGACTAAAAAATCATCACATTGCAAAACAACATTCTTTGGGATAAAAAACGAAAAAAAAGGGAAGCCTGTTTTGACAGAAGATTAGCAGGTTAGAGAGAGATAAGTAAGAAAAAGATGTTATCCAGGTATAATATACTTTAGCAGCTGTTATCTATCAAGTTTATGACTAATCATGTATACTTTGCAGTCTTTTCTTTTTTATTTTGGGGGAGGGGGGGCAGACTAAAAAAATTATGTTTAGAATCAAGAATTACATACCTAGTTTTTCTTTTAATATACGTATTTTACACAGGCTATCGTTTGATGACAATTCTTCTTCATAATTCTTAATTTTTTCTTAAATAGATTTAACCTTTTGAACTTTAAGATTTCCTATCATGACTCATTTTCATTTTTCTTTTGAACAAAAACTGCTGACTGAAAATGGTATTTATAAATATACTCATATATATTTCTTTTTCTTTTTTAATAATCAATTCAAGCTGTCAACAATCATTCCGAAGAGCTTCAATCATAATGCAAGTCACTGATATAACTCAATAATTCAACCAAGTTATGAATCAATTAACTGGATATCATCAACAATTAGTGTATCATATCATATTAAGTAGTGCATTTTTTTCTTCATGTGTGGTTACCTAGCAAAATAGGGTCAATCTGGATAGTTAGTCTTCTCTCTTCGGGTTTCTGCAACATTCTTTTCCGATGTGTCATGGAGGCAAGGTGTCTTCACGCGAGCGCGAGTAATATGTGCATTACGCATGCAGGAACACTGTGGGTCTGCTAAATTTGTATGCTGTATCGCGACCACGCCCGACACCTCAAACCTTCATATGTGTGGAATGAGGTGGTTTGGGTTTAAAATACAGGTGGGTAAACCTGTGTGAGTTTGCAGTGGGGTTCTGCAGATGAACATGTTTTTATTATAAGTATTGCCGCAGGATCAAAAACACCTTGTGAAGAGGCAATATTTCTATTAGTCTGACCAACTTCTCAATCATGGAACCACAGCAAGAAACAAAAAGGGTAATTTGTATCTTTTAACAATATTTTTTGTTTCAAAAGCATTAGAGAAAAGGACATTTTGTATAACTTTTAGGATAAATGGCAGAGAAAAAAGGATTTGGATTACAAACTGCAACAGCCATAGCCAAAACAATAAGAAAGAAAAAAAGAATGCTGCCAAGAATAAGAATGATATATATTGTTCTAAAATCACCAGTTTGGCAAGAAAATGTAGTTAGCAACAATTGCTATCCATGTCCAGGTGTGTGTGTATTCTTTATCCATGGGTGTGGCCAGATAAACTATCACCTAGGTCCAGGAAAGGCATTGCGAAAATGATGGACCCACAAAAATGTAGCACCATAAATGAAGTACAAACACATACATATATTACATAGAAATATTTCTTGTGGCATTAAGAGGGGCAGACACTGATCAGGATGGTTGACTTGACGGAACAAAGACAGAGGTTAGTTCTGTATATATATGCTTCTATCTACTTCTATCTATACTAAGAAAAGAATTAGGCATACTTGTATAAGATAAGTGAAAATATCTAAAATACATAAGAAAGAACATAATAAAGGCAGTAAATTTTTTATTTAAAATTGATGATAAGGTAAAAGAAAAAACAATCTAACTTTTCTTTAAGCACTGAAAGTAATATGTGTTTAGCACAGAAACATTTTGTTTCCTAAAATGATACCAACTCCTTCATTTTTAAGGAAAAATTTTCCTTGGTTAGTAAAAGATTCTTTCTAATTTTTTAATGACTTTCAGAGATAGAACATGAGCTACAAAATTAAAGGACCTTAAGTAAACTTTGCAAGTAAATTTTCACAATAAAAATATACAGAAAAAAAAAACGTTTAAAAAATAACAATTCAATTTTAAAAATTCAGCTACTTGTTTTTTTTAACTTTTTGTCAAATTCCATAATAGTTTATATATCAATTACCTGTAATCTTAAAATTGGTGCCAAGTGGTAGGGATCAGCTTGATTCAGGCGGCGTATACAGTCACTCTCCTGGGCACCTATAGGCTGAAAGTTGGTGTGGAGGACCTTGATGGATACTTTAACGTCATCTTTAAAGGTGTCCTAAAATATCAATTATAAACATTAATGAGAATTTTTTCTAAGTTACTGGATAAGGAAATGAGTAAATGAGTTTTTGTATTTGAAATTAATTCCTATTGATCTTCAAAAATTTCTTCTTTTTTCATAATTTTAAGAGAAGGAAATTAATGTAAAATGTTCATTTGAAATCAATTCAAATTGATCTTTAAAAAATTCTTCTTTCATAATTTTTACTGATAACTTCCATCAGATGGAAGAAGCAAAACTTGTCTTAAAATCACTTTTCAACTAGNGGAGAGGCTAGTTTCCAATGACCTCTAATACTCAGGGTTCTGGTAGGAAGGGTGTTGGCTGGGGCCCCTTGGATTTGCCTTTTTTCCAGCAAACTTGATTACAGTTTTAAAAAGTGACAAAGTAAACCATTATGTCCTATTCAGATTTTGGTGCATTTAGATCTGTTACTGCATGTGAAGATGACATGTAAAGTGATGATAAAATATGAACCAAAACAAAAGCAACAGCAGTGCAAAAAAGTACCTGCAAAGGACTCAACATCCGCATCTGAGCAGCATCCTAGAAGAAAATATCAGAAATTGTTTGAAAAATAAGACCACCTCTATATAAAATCAGGAGTGGATACCATTTTAGACCATGAAACATCAGCATCTTTACAGCAGGTATCCTCACCCAGGAAATGTTTTCTGTAAAAACTCATTTCATCCTTTAAAACATATTAATAAACAAAGGGCATTCAAAATACTTTTTGTACTCTATTTTTGTAATAATTTTCACTTAGACATGTAATATTTTAGAAGTTTGTTTTAGTTTGGTAAAGTATATTGTGCGATTGCAAAAAAGAAAGAAAAATTAAAATAATTCTTTTATAATTCTGAATAATAAGAGATAAATGTTAAAGAAAAAAGTGCAGCAAACAAAAAATCAAGTTATTAACAAAATAAGTCTTAGACCACATCTCTAGAATCCCCTCTTAGTATCAATAACACAAAAAAGCACCAGTGTACTACCAATCACCGTGTTCAAATGTATTTTAATTTTTGCATTATGTAATATAAATATATGATCTTGAAAAAGTTATTTCTGATTTTAATTTTCAGAATTTTCAGATTATTGATATGAGGCATATGCTGTATTCAGATCCCTTTTTACATATTAGGGTGTTTTAATACCAATGTTTTACATTACAAAGTAATTACATTTTTCAAAATAGCAGCCGAATATTACAGTAATAACTTAAACCCAAACAGCAGTCTTAATTTTCATACACAATAAAAATAAAATTGTTAAGTACTTAAAAAAAAGGAAGAAAGAAAAATGTTATGGCAATTGCTGAAGGCTCTCAGAAAAAAAATTAAAAAATCTGAGATGTGACCATCACTTCATAAGTTTGAAATATTTCAATCTTTGTTAATTTAGTGGAAATGGATCTGAACACAGCTTGTAATACTTACAATGTAAAAACTCTTGGTCAGTTATGTATTAGTTTCAAATCAAACTTCAGTAGCAAAGTTAATGCTATTAAGGATTAAAGCAGGTAATATAACAGATAAGATTATAAAAAGGGGAGATATGAAGTAAATGAAAAGGCAAATAAAATTATAAAGAAAAGATGTTGATTAATAAACAATTTTTAAACTCATTAAATTTATGAAAGCTAAGGTAACATTTGTACACATGCATTAATGAAATAAATGTATGTGACTTAAATTTTTACTTAAACAATCAAGGAGAATATTATAATTTCAATGTGAAATTAAAGTAATATTCAAAATTATCAAGAAAATAAAAATAAAAAATATTAACCAAATAAAGGGGAAAATGAAAAACAAAATCGAAAAATCAAAAATAAATATACTAGTATATGTATACATACGAATTGTATTCATTTTTATTTAAATTACACTTTCACATTTACCAGTACCTATCTGTGTACCAGTAAATATCATCTTTAAGCCTAATCATCCTCATCACAAATCTCAATAAACTAACCTCAGTTATATGGTACATAAGCCACCTGCAATTGTCAAAAATTAGTACAAAAGATCAAACACTGAAGCCCTAGCAACACTGCACCCATTACCATGACAACTGTTACTACGCCAGCACTAACCAAGGCAACAATCTGCCAGAGGGCTGCAGATCCTATTACCAGATGGCACTCTGTTATGCAAGACAAACCCTTTTTCATTTTCCCCACTAGCTGGCTGACTGTCTCTAACAGGATAGAGACTGCTCCTTGCGTCATCTTCTCTGCCCATTTTTAGGTCAACGTCATAATCTACGTGCAAGTACATAGTAAGAGTGAAACACATAATCCTAAAATTGATTACTTTTCTTTAATACCATACTTACATGTACATCACTGCCATATATATATATCATGTTCAATAAAACATTCCTCTTTTTTAAATCTTAAAAAACAAACAATGCAAACACTTAACTGAAATCCTACTCACTCACATAAGCATACATCTTATCACTAACCAATATGGATGCCTACTCTCATAAAATTCAATACATAACTAGAGGATCAGAGAGGCGATACCGCCTCCTGATATTGTACCACCAGCTGGAGTAAGCGCATTCGAATGGAACCACCCCCCCCCAAAAAAAAAAGGGACACCANATTGGTTTTCCTTGAAATGTGTTATCAGTGTTGCATATATGCTGACAAAAGAGAAAACGTAAGGGCAACACTGAGCATATCTCTGCTAGTTTTGAAGATATGAGGGGCAAGAAAATATGCAAAGGTCAGTTCATGGTATATGATTTCCTATTCAAGTTAAATAGTAACTATGGGTATCTCCTTGCTAATTTTGGAGATAAAGAGGCCAGAAAACATGCAAAGTATAGTTCATCATAAAAAGTAGGTCAAAGGTTAATTTCAAGGTCACAGTTAGATTGCCAGTATATGACTTCCTGTTCAGGTTCAATAGTAACTATGGGTGTATCTCTGCCAGTTTTCGAGATATAAGGGAGATAATTTTTGCAAAGTTCAGTTCATGGTGAAAAGTAGGTCAAAGGTCAATTTCAAGGTCACAGTTAGATTATCAGTATATGACTTCCTATTCAAGTTCAATAGTAACTAAGGGCTTATCTCTGCTAATTTTTGAGTAATTCACATTTTATTTTCACCACTGAATTTTGGATGTTGAACTTTTTGATTAGTGCAATGCCTAAGCCGTATCAAAAACAAAAAAAATGGACACCACCCCCAGTGCTGCCCTTGACAAGTTCTACAAAATGCAAAAAACAAGAGGTCTCTAGCATTAACGGTTCCAGAATTAGAGAGAATTTTCAGTTTCGGCATCTAATGGCCGCTACTACCATGAAAATGCACCGATTGACCCCAAACTCACGAAAATGAAAGATGACCCTAAGGGTAACACCTGCCCATAATATTATAGGTAAGATATGTTTCGTTTCTAAATATCGGCTGAAATAAAAATTTTCTCGCAAAAAATTCCCATTTTTAGAAAATTTTGGCCTGTTTGACCTTGAAATAAAGGTCAAAGGTCAAATCCAAGGGCATATTTGAAATCCTCACATATGACTTTTGGTCAGCCATCTGTTGTAATTTTTCCCATAATTCCATCGGTTTGGGAGATATTTAGCATTGAATTTTCAAAATTTTTGACAAGGGTGCATTTCAACGAGCGTCACGCCCAGGTCAATGCACCAACTGAGACAAAAAAACCTGGGGGTTCAAGTTGAGATTATATGTGACCTAAATCCAAGAGATGGGGACACAGGTCCTTGCGGTCTAGGAGGAGAAGCGGTAACGGTGACTCGTATCCCACGTCATCCTGCGGAGCCGCAGGAGCCGCAGGAGCCGGCGGAGCCGGCGGAGCCGGCGGAGCTGTACGAGACGGGTCGGGACTAAAACCATGAGTACCGCCAGCGTACACGCTGGTGGTACTAACTAAGCATCAAGACTAAATTAGTTTACCATCCGAAGCACATGCATCTAAAAGACCTGCAGTGACATTCAGACTTGACAACCATATACATGTACACAGTTTAACTTGCTCTTCTTACATTCATAAGTTGTTTTCTAAGAGTTTTACAGTTTTGGCTAATTCTAAAGACAGGCAAACTTAATAACATCAAATACAACATTTATTCCACAACTTAAAGAAAAATATACATGTACATGTAATAGTAATTGTGCAAACAATGGATATACTAGCATCAAGACTAAATTAGTTTACCATCCGAAGCACATGCATCTAAAAGACCTGCAGTGACATTCAGACTTGACAACCATATACATGTACACAGTTTAACTTGCTCTTCTTACATTCATAAGTTGTTTTCTAAGAGTTTTACAGTTTTGGCTAATTCTAAAGACAGGCAAACTTAATAACATCAAATACAACATTTATTCCACAACTTAAAGAAAAATATACATGTACATGTAATAGTAATTGTGCAAACAATGGATATACTAGTTGATAATTATTTTTTTGTATTTATTGTTGGTAATGAGCAAGGCCTTTTTCTGTAATACTGGCAAAAATGAATGAGCTAAATCAATATCACAAGTACATGTGCCATATTTACAATGACTTGGGGCATTTGTGCATCACATTTTTACATGTACATGTAATAGTAATTGTGCAAACAATGGATATACTAGTTGATAATTATTTTTTGTATTTATTGTTGGTAATGAGCAAGGCCTTTTTCTGTAATACTGGCAAAAATGAATGAGCTAAATCAATATCACAAGTACATGTGCCATATTTACAATGACTTGGGGCATTTGTGCATCACATTTTTTTATAATGTAAATTTTAAAACAAACTGAAATTGTTTAAATTTCAATATATGCAGTTTCTGAGAGTACCAGTATTTTTTCTCCTTCTAGTACAAATGTAGATGTTTATGAATATATTGAAGCAAACTTCAAAAATATTTTCAGATCTTTGAGTTATATCATATCATTGTCATCATCATCATCATTATCATCATCATCATCGTCATCATCTATCCAACGAAAATTTCTGTCTAGCAGATTTGGTAGGTCTGGCATTATGGCACACTGATTTATAGCATCTTCTTCAGGATTACATTTTTCATCATTCCCCATTTCCCCTTTACCTTCTTCTGTCTCCCCAACATCTTTGAGAAGAGGGGTACATGTATCACTTACTTTGAGCCTTTCATCTTGGATGGAGTCATCAAGACAGAATGTCACTCTTAATTTGCTGTCACTTTTTACGGATTTGACATTATCTCCAGCAGAATTTCCTAGGATTCCAAGGACAGAAGGCTCGCTGGCCCCTATGTGCTGGTTGCTAGGTTTACTGCCTTGTTTTAACTTGAAGCATGACACTGAGCTATCTGTGCTTTTGGGCAGAGTAGGGAGAGAGGCGTTTTTCTCACAGAAATCAAATTTAAGAAACGCAGGTTGGTTGAGCTGTGTTGCACCTTTAATATTATTTCTAATTGCCAACAATGGTAGTTCACCATAACTGGCTTGTTTGACTTTAGGAAAGCTTTTGACAGAGTTAGCAAAACTTCCTGTTCGACTTCTTGAAGGGACAAGCGTA